ATAACATTTTTTGCCTTTTCAAATAAATATTTATATTATTTTTTTAACCAGAATACACATATTTAATATCAGCAATTAACTTTTAAAAAGGATAATTTGGCGAGGAGAGGGATGCAGGGGAGAGGGGCCCCTCCCCCGCCTATTACATAGCTAATATCTTTTACAGAAATAGAAAATAAATCTTTTAACGATGTGCTAACATAAGTTAAAACAACGTGCTTCTACTAATGATTCACGATATGTCTTATCTTGCGTAGAGGTCTGTCTAATCTTTTCGGTATCTATTATTTTTAGTATATTGTAGACTCATCCATTTAGTAAGGCGAAGATTTGATAGATATATAATATATGTATATATATTTAATTATTTTTGCGAACCAAGATCGTATAGTTGTACTGTTTCACATGAGTTTCTGACTTTGCACGCGAGATATATAATATACGACAAAAATTGCGTTTTATTTATAAAACATTTTTTGTTAATAACTCAAAACAATGGCTAAAACCTTTTGAGGGTCACTGAGTTGATAATATATGTCAAGGTCAAGGCCATTGAAGGTGATCTCTTGATCGAAATATTTATCTATCACATATTTTTATCATTTCATCTTAAAAAATGGCTTTTTCATAAGAGTCGCTGAAATTCCTTTTAAAGGCTTTTATTTTAGTCCAAATTAAAGCTTTTGATAAAGTTTCAATAAAAGGTAGGAATCGGAGGTGGGTCGTTTTTGGAAGTTTATCCATGCAAATTTTAAAAATGATATTCCGCTGCAGAGTTTATTGATACATCAAAATTAATATATTATTTAATAATCTCCTCTATATATATAAACATTAGTACGAAAAATACTCTATATATCTTTTCTTCTCCACTTTCTCTCTGTCTCTCTCTCTCTCTCTCTCTCTCTCTCTCTCTCTCTCATATTATAATTTATATTACGAGAACGCACAATACAATATAAAATATATTGAAAACAAAATATCAACTACTGAATTTGCTTTTTAATATAACGAAACTAATGAAATTATGATTCTACTTTAGCGATAATTCAGCTTATCTTGTGCAATTTGTATAATTAAATTCTGACGCACATTTTGACTCAAATCCCACGAGAAGTCTCAATGTACAATTTCCACAGACTCTCGTGATATGCGGGTTACGTCTAATAAAGAGTGAACGCGAACTATATCTTCTACCTCATGCCCGTCTTCTCTCTTATTCTCACTCAAGCTTGTTCTCTCGACGGTCAAAATTTCATGCAAGTTAAAGCAGATCTGTAATTGTGACCCAATCCCGAGTTCAACCCTAGATGTGAGCATTTCTGTATTCTCGACATTTCTCGCATGTTTCTCTTTGGAGATATAAGCACACATAATATACATAATGCAATAGTAATTATACGTGTTACACATACGAATTTTGTACGTATGTTTGTTTCCCATTCAACAGGATATCTACTATTTTTTAGCATAACTCTTTTTTATCTTCCTTCTGTTTTCAAATAATATATTTAAACTAATTTTTAATTTTTATCTGTTTTTTGTAGTATTAAAATTAACGTTTTATTGTATTATTAGATATTTTATTTTAATATCTAATTTAATTAATTTAAATATTATAAGTCTGCGTTGTCAGTATATATAATATTTAAACTGCATTTGTCAAGTAGTAATGTCTTTTAACTCTTAAAACTGTTGGGACGTACGTACAAATTCATTTAGTTCATATAGTTGGGTTATTTCCCTGAATGTGAATGTTTAAAATGTCTCCCTTAATGTTTTGTCAAAGTTAATGTTTTATCAAGAGTTAATGACGCACACACTTCAACACACAATCTTTCTTCAGATCGATATTTGAACCAGAATACGAATATATATGAACCTTAAAACTCTGTAATGCCAACAATTGGTTGCTTCTCTTAATTGATATTGAGCAAACAAGAAATACTCGATACTGTATAGTGAATTGCCATAGCCAAAGACAGTATCGAGCATCTCATTCCGCCATAACGATTAGTCTCGAGCTCCTTTAAAAAACATAAAAATAAGGAGAATTTACAAAGTATTTTTTCATTATTCTCTTCTCTTCATAATGAAATTAGACACAATACGATCTTTAGTCCGAGTAATGAAACATTTCTATTCGCAAACCATTTGTATATAATTTGGAGTCAAGTTTTAGAAATATCATTAAAATATGACGATTTTTTAATTATTTCTATTTTCACTATATATACGCAATATATACATACTATATAATTGTACTTTTTTACTTTATGAACTAGCATTACAAACGCGCGCTTTGCGCATGCTATTTAACATTTTTTAATTTTTACTATAATTTGCTGTTATATCGCAATCTTAATACACACAACTGTCAAACTATGCAATGACAGCTGCTCACGAAATTAGCGCAGCGACAGAATCAATTATCGTCGCGAAAAGAATACCGATACATATTTTCAAATATCGATTTAACATGCCTTTCTTTAGATAGAATGCATCGTAACATTTGTTACAACCACTGTTTTGTGAATTCAAACGTTAATAAATCTTCGAGGAATGAAAACGAAAACATTTACTTTGTTTCGCTATGCTCCTTTATTTTTAAACTTTGATATTGCTTATATAAATAACAAGAATTTCCTGTAAGTTTTATTAATATTCTTTCTTTAATTTTAACCTAAATCCTTAAATTTCCTTCTTTCTTTTTGTCGTCGCAACTGGCTTGATGTGCGATTTTATCTATTTTTTTGTGTGTAATTTACTTTCGGATTTCAAGACGAAGATCATCCGCGACCTTAATCGACAAGCCATATGCTCTTTGTATTATTTGCTTACTTTTTACATTATCAATTTGCACACGCTTCGCGCAGGATTTTCAACATTGTTATTTTCAAACTTTCTTTTATAAATACTAAAGAATTTTTTTTAAATACTCTTTTCTGATGTCAGTTTAAATTTTATTCACGATTAGATTTTCGGAAGGGAATTTAAAGTCTTAAAGTAAATTCTAAGTTCCATCGTCTACTATCTGTTCATCATTCGCAATTTCGTTATATCACTTTTCCGCAATTCGCTCCCGGAATAAGTTCATGCGAAATTAAAAGCTCAATTATATCGTATATCCTATAATTACATCATATCCTAATTAACGCGGCTGATGATGAAAAATAGCTTGTTCTGTTTTATTATTTATAGGAAAACTATACATATAATGTTCGTCTAACACTCGCGACTTTTGACGAAAATAGCATAATTTTGTGATTGAAACTTCTTAAAGTTGCAGTAGATTAACATGAAATCTGTCCGCATGTGATAGAACCTATGTTTTTTTTCTATCAATAGAATTTGCCAACAGTGTCGACAACAGATTGTTAGCAGAAACCGAACAGAATTTCTCATTTCGTAACAATTTAAATAGAATATATCTCATTTAATTGGTTATGAAATGGCCGATTACTTATAACTTCTATTTGATGAATCTACCAGTCAATTTGTTATACTCTGCTAGCAGATTCTATTTCTGCCGGAATTATTTCTTATAATTATCGGATTTAAACACAAACAACGTTGCATCCTCACACAATGAGCTTAAAATGCAGCCCGCTGCACTTTTCGCATCAGCCTTTATTATGCAAGTGAAAGAGAAGTAGGTACAAGCAAACGCTCATAGCTATTCGTTCAGCGTGACTTAATTAAGTAATTAATTAATTACGCTGGGGAAATATATATAACTCTTCCGTGTCACAAACCAGTTGCATGCACTGTCTGATTGAAGTGCATATACTCTGATAGATGGCTCGATCGTATACGTCTGACAATGAATGTCGTTGTAATGATTTAACTGATAATCGTTGTCACATTCGACCATTTCTGTGTAATCATACGCAATTTGATTTGTCGTGCGAATAATGTAACTCGTAATGGTTATAATAATTACAAGAGAGTTCTCATTCTAGTGATGCTAATAACAATAATGAGAATTATTAGCTATTAGCGTATTATTAGCAGTCAGAGATTGCATACGAAGCGTTACAAATCAATATCGTCAGTCAGTGATAGTCTGATAATTGCAGACTGATTGAAACGCGAGATTATTAATAATTGTCAATACACTGCATAATTCCTATCTGTGCAATACATGCTTTATAAAATTATGCGTTTATACAAAGCTCCTCATAATTATAAAATATTTTCTCGTCAGTCATATTCTTGTATCAGCGGTCTATTACTACATTTATCTGTAATCCCGTTGTTATTTATGGACGAGTTATTACTTTAGCAAGTACTAACTCGAAAAATTTCAAGTACTTTCAAACTGCAATGAAACCATCGATTTTATCTCCAGCATAGACCATTTATTATTCCACAATGTAATGCAGAGTAAGCTGACGTTAATAAAGGAGGGGAGCATGTTGCGTCCGGAAACAAATTTATTTTTCCATGCAGATCCCGTAAATAATTCCGATCCGTCTGTTTGTCTGTTCAAACAAATGTCAATGGAGATCTTATTAATCCAACAGATGGAACTAGGTATTTTTCCTAGGTAGTTGTGTAAAAAAAAATAGATTTTCTCTGAATATCATTATACATCGTTGCATGTCACGTTGGAACGAATTTTATGTCACAGTTTTTCAATCCTTTAGAAATTTAGACGATAGTCATAAATACTGACAAACCGTCACTTCTTGTCCAAGAAAATCTGCTTGTCCAAGAGCATAAGTTCATGTCGTATGTTTTGTATGTATGTACAATCAGTCATAAACTCTCTGTGTGAGTTTATGTCTGATTATTGCACATTTCTACCAATGTAAATTAAATTTAATCTCGGTTTTATTTACCTTTTATGTTTTTCTAATTCTTCGAACTAGTAAAAGATACAAAATAAGTTAAACCAAGATTAAAGATAATCTACATTGGTAGAAATGGCCATATATGTATAATACGCGCGCGTGTGCGTGTCTTCGTTATTTCGCTAAAATTTTTTCAGTGTGTGTGTGTGTGTGTGTGTGTGTGTGTGTGTGTGTGTGTTATTAAAATTCCATTATTCATAATTTACATCAATCAATAAGATAGAGGAATGCTTAATCTCTAATTTTTATTTTTGTTTAGTTTTACACAATTAATTTAGTAATTCCATAGGAATTAATTTAATTCCTACAACGTATTTCTACAATAAATGAATAGAATGTATAGTATTATTATAAAATCGTTACATTAATAATAACAATTATTAAATTGTTAATTATTAATAATACAGATTATTAACAAAGTATAATAACAAAGATTATTAACAACTGATCGTATATAACAATCTGCTATAACAACGTGCTATATAACAATGTGCTTCATTATTCATCATTGATTCAAGACAAGCGGTTTATTGTTAATTGTTCTTATAAACTCATTAATTATTCTTTTTCATTGTCAGTTGACAATGGTATACGTACTATAAAGAATTCAACAATTTCCAGGAACCCTGTTGTTGGAGTTGCGTCGCCTGCCGAGAGGATGCCTACGTTTACAACGACACGTGCAAAAAGTGCAATCCCGGATATGCACCAAATTCCACGATGACGGGCTGCATTAAGCTCACTGCTGAAGTCATACCCTGGACGAGTCCTTGGGCGTTAGTACCGTTGATATTTGCGTCCATCGGGATCCTCAGCACTCTTTTCACCACCGTCGTCTTTATACGGTAAGATGCGCGCATTGCTTCTTCATTGTTTTCTCGATCGTGTTGTATTATAATAATAAAAAAGATTTTTTAGCAAATCTTATTTTTCAGATAAGTCGAATCTATCTAAAAATATATAAATAGATCTGCTTAAATAAAATTTTAATTCAAAATTTCATTATACTACATTAGTACCGCAGTACGTGTAATCTCAAAGATTGCAATATTATCGATTTTGCTTGATATTTCATTTAAAATAAACATTTTTAAATTAATCTTTAAATCTAATCTATCATTAACACTTCCATATGGCTTGCCGACGGCATAAAGTCATGCGTATTTTAACGTTATAGTCCAATGACACGCAGAGTATATGTACAACGTATATGTGTATGTCGATAAGATTAATATTTTTACATATATACATCTATTATTGCATGCACGTGTTGTGGATAAAAACATGGACGAAACGTTGCTTGGCAACATTAAAACAATTATAAGTATAATTAAACGGTGCCATGTAATCTTACATCAAGGGTTGTTTAATTATGACATTTTAAAACGCATACCATATTCGACAAGGAAATATATTTAAATAATATTTAAAATAATATCTATAATCTATCTTATGTTATAAGACTCTTAAAAAAGTGATATTTATTGTCTCGGATCGTATGATCATAGTTATAGTTTGTTTCAATCGGATATATGTATATAAACTGCGAACTGCAAAGTATTAACAAATAATACGATACAAATAATATAGGCTAGGTAAAAATTTTTATTGCATTAAATAAAAATGTAAATAATATAAAAAGACTTTTCGTCGTGCGAGAGTGATGAGTGAGATGAAATTGACGCACATTCGATATCTTCTTTTTCAATGAAAATATAACAAGGTTGAATGGGGAGCATATTAGCATTGAAAAAGGGTGCTTAAAAAGATATAAAGTCGATGCTTTCGAAGCGAAAATTTAATCGAAAGCTTAATAAGTGACCTATTAAACTTACTTAATTAAAGAGCTAAAAGGTTTAATGCATTTACTGTACATGGCTGTACAAAAAGAAAAAGAACATTTTGAATTCTAGAGTTATTTTTTTTATATTTTCACTAATTGAACTTAACTTATTAACACATAATTATCAAAACTCGCGTTTTATGTGTAAATTATGCTTAAGTATTTGTTTAATTTAAATTTACTATCGATTCAACATCTCCAGAAAATGTAATGACAGATTTTGAGATAGCCTAATCATATCTCTCTCAAGATTATTAATCAATACAATTAGAAAAAATTTTACTCTCTCTCTCTCTCTCTTCTGTATATTAAAAAACACTAAAGCGTCGAAAATAATACATGAATAAATAAAAAAATGTACAAATGAGAAAGTATATTTGCAGAAATATTATTTATCACACTCTAATATTAATTTAAATTTCTTAATCTATTTAAGGCACGAAATTAATGTACAGTATATCTTTCGCAAATATTAATTGAAATTTTTGACTGACCTCATCGATTTCGCTATGAATATATTGTGTTTGAACAGATTCAATCGCACTCCGGTGATCATGGCATCGGGACGTGAGCTATGTTACGTTCTGTTGGTGGGAATTCTCTCCTGTTACGGCATGAGCTTCGTCATACTGAGCAAGCCGACCACATGGAATTGCACATACCTCAGGATCGGCCTTGGTCTCTGTCTTAGTATATGCTACAGTGCGATCCTCACAAAAACCAATCGTATATCGCGAATATTCAACCAAGGCACGAAGAAGATCAAGAGGCTCTCCTACACATCGCCCAAGAGCCAAGTGGTAATCGCTATCGGTGAGTACGAGCTGCACTCACCTCGGTAAACATGTCGACAAGCTATATGGCATCGAGAGGATAATTGCACACGCCAATGCTTGACGTAACGTGAAATAAAAGCTGTGTTCGACCGAAGAAAAGAAATAATGGTGCGATCCTTAGGCGATAGAGTTTCTCTCTAACAATAAGATAGACACAAGGAATTTGCATCTTATTGACGCAATCCTTGCTTATTGCAGTTTCGATCAAAACGTCACCTCCTTGTATCGTTAGTTTTTAAAAACAGAAATTAATTATCTCTCAAGTAGATACTTGAAAAGTGAATTAATCGTCATTCTTTTTTTTCTACTCTAGCTCTCTCCCACCTTTAAAATAATTTTACAAGTTATATGTATAAATTATTATCTTTTATTATAATTTTTGTATTACAATTCTATTAATCGTGTTTTTTATTAATTATAAAGTTTTATATATTATATGCATACTATTATATATATGTATATAATTCTATTTCTGTAGAAAGGAAATAGCTTAATGTGGGAAATATACAGTTTGGGCACATTGCGGATTTTCTCTCACATTTCCATTCATTATTCGATTAACAATGTAAACAGCAGCTTCTAAAGTACGCAGAGCCTGATCCTGGATTACGTGACTCCCATTTATGCAGGGATCACCGCAGTGCAACTCATCGGCACTATCGTGTGGCTGATGATCGAGCCGCCAGATACCACGGAGATCCATCCGTATCCGCTGTCCGCGGTGCTTACGTGCCGCGTGTCCACATTCTCGCTGATGATGTCCCTCGTTTACAACATGTTCCTGATTTTAATGTGCACCCTCTACGCGTTCAAGACCCGCAAGATCCCGGAGGACTTCAACGAGGCAAAGTACATCGGCTTCACCATGTATTCTACGTGCATCGTTTGGCTGGCCTTTGTGCCCATCTACTTCGGCACCAACAACGACTACAAGGTCTGTGCCACAGATCGCGAGTCCACGGCGGACGCGAATTACGCGCACGTCTTCCCACGCGCGCGCGCGCGCGCACGCGCGCGCGCACACACACACACACACACACACACACACACACACTCACACACACACGCACGCACACACACACACACACGCACACACACGCACACAAGAGAGAGCCTCACGGCGCGTTTTTCTGTGTTAACATGTAAAGTCGAGCGGACGGCTGCCTACGTTGCAGGTTCAGATCGCGAGCATGTGCATGTGCATCAACATCTCCGCCTCGGTCGCCCTCGGTTGCCTCTTCACGCCCAAGGTCTATCTGGTGTTGTTCCAGCCTTATAAGAACGTCCGTCCTGGTCACCCTAACGTATGTATAGATTTTGTTGTACATACTTATCTCATCTAACAATTAATCCATGAAACAATGGACAGGAATGGACAAGGGATGTCTCCAAAATTCACATAAATTAGATAACTCATACTACAAATGTCATTAAATAACAGTTATCTCAGCTTTTTCGCCAATTCTCGCGAATAACTTATAAAATTACACTAAATCTAATAAGAATTTTAAGACATAATTAACTTTTCTGTTTCGGAACTCAATTTGGATCGTACTTTTATATCTGCTATAGATATATTTTTATCTATAATACTCCTTCAAATTATCAATTTCTCTCCCCCTCGCAAGTAAACAAATTTCTACCTATTAATCTTTTCCTTGCACAATAAGCATGTTGTGTGACAAACTTTAATCTAATCTCTGCTACAGTAAATTATACATATATTGAGGATTGTTTGTTATTATAAACAGTTTATTAATTGATTAAAGAGCACAACGGAGAGCACAATTACTGGCTCAATTCACTCTGAAATAAACATATTTAATTCCCTTCCAAATCCCTTCTTTTGTTAGCATTATAATCGGTTAAATCCTAGATATTTATTATTAAATCAAAACAATTCCATCACTGAAACCAGTTTTGGTTCTTGTATCCCATCAAAATCCACATGAGAATCAGCATTTAATACACATTGAGGAAGCAGTGGAAGCACTAATCCCTTCGACAAAACAAATAAAATTTATTCTGCAAAGTTAAAGTACGATGGAAAAATGGTTTTGTTTTGTAATAATTTCATCGATTGCAGAATGTTTAGGAAATCTCATCAAAGTATACGACAAAGTTCTTCTATTTATTTTTGTTTATTTACTTAAATTATCAAGTTTAAGTTTAGAGAATTGCGAAAATCTGAGATTTTTCATAAATAATGTCCACTAGTAAAAAAAAAAAATAATTGTGATACGTGATATTGAAGTACAATTGCGAAGAGAAGGCTCGAATGTCTGTAAATCTAAATATATCTAGGAGAGCATAAATCTATATACCTAGGAAAGCATGTATGAGTCAGATACAGATCGGTGAATGTGGACACTGTGTTCAAACGTTGCAGAATTGATTGCGAATATTATACCGAATTGGAGACTGGATGCACCGGTGCGCACGAAGGCGCATAAAGGTCGGATTGAAATTGATGTAAAGGCGTATGCTAACACTAACACTAACGCTAACGATTCGATCAATTTGATGTTCAGCGTAAGTTACCGCATTGTTTGTGGAATTTATGCCGAGCAACGAATTTCCATTCCATTGATCGAGAGATGCGAACATGCGCTTGATAAATCTGCACGCGATGGCTCTTGGAGTGCATCGGTGCACATTGTAGAAATATAGCCTGAGGGAATTTGGTATTAGGGGGCTAAAATCTTTTCCCTTGTTCTCCAATCATTTGTCGTCCGATGTCTAAAATCCATTCGGATTTTCGTAGACGGGCGGCTTGCAGAGTGGCAATCGCGCGGCATACAGCATGCGCTTCGCCGGCGGCCGTAGCCAGACGATGCAGAGCGTGACCTCGGGCTCGCGCAGCAGCCCCCCGATGTCCCGTGGGGGTGCGGGCGCGGGCGCGGGCGCGGGTACGGGACGTGCGGACGAGCGGAAGCACGCGAACGGTGAGACCCAGGCGCTGGCGAGTCCATCGGTCGAGGAGACTTCCGTTAGCTAGGTCGCTCTCATACACCTCCCTCCCTGTCCAGAGCATCGGGCGAGGATGCGCGAGACCGAGGCGGAGGTGTATGTCAATGGCGACGACGACGGCGGCAGCGGCGGCGGCGGTAGTGGAGGCGGCGGCGGCGGCGGCGGCGGCGGCGGCGGCGGCGGTGGCGGCGGCGGCGATGGCGACGGCGACGGCGGCGGCGTCGGCGTCGGCGGCAGCGGCAGCGTTGGCGCCAGTACAGGTGGCGGCTGCAGCTGCGGCGGCGGCGGTGGTAATGATAATGGTGACGGCGACGACGATGATGAGGACGAGCGCAAGCTGTCGACCGTTCAGGAACTGCCAGAGCTTACCGCCAGCCCGCCGATGAGCCTGGTGACCCGTCAAGCGCGCGAGAGGAGTCAGGACAAGCTGCGCCACGACTCCGATCAGGTGACAGGGATTTTTTTTTACCTTCGAATCCTTTAATAACGGATTGTTCCCATCACGGAGATTTCGGCAGATTGATGATCAGCCTGGCTTTTCGAAAGAACGTGCTAATCAAGAAATCAAATTGAAATTTATTGTGCAATCAATCATTATTTATATTGCTCATTTCGGGTGTTTGTTTATGCAGTTACGTTGAAGGATTTCTTTCTTTTTGCTTGTTTTCAAAATTTTGTTTTTTGAAGCTTCGTCATGGCTGACTCTTTCGCTATATCGTTTGTAACGATCGATTTTTATTATTCTGTTACTACGCTTTACAACATTCGTTATGGTTTTTTTATCATTATGAGACGACAAACATTACAACATATAGATTTCTAATCCATATACTCTTCTGTTTCCTTTTCAAGCCGAGCTATCGCAACGAAGCCGCAATCAGCAGCATCTCTGAGAAAGTAGAAGCGCGCGCGAGGAAAGAGAGATCGTGCTCGAACGAGGAGCAAATTCTAAGTTACAGCGACTCGCCGACCTTCTCCGAGTTCTCCTCGTAGTATTCGAACGGTCATCTCGAATTGCGACAGATTTCCCCTTCAGCATCTTTCACCGAGTTTCCGATCAACACGAAGGACCTCGTCAATCTTGCCGTATTTGACAGCGTTTTATAAGCGCCAAATGTTTTGTATATTCCTACACGAGATGTGAGTAATCTGACAACGCTTATACAACTCTTTGCACTCGGCCCGTGGTTACATACACAAAATTATACAGGCTATTTCTTAAGTACTGTTCCATATTTTAGGATTTGATTTTTGAAGTTTTTTTTATTAAAAAAATTCACAAGTTTTGCAAAAAATCATCAGTGACAGTAGAAACGGAGCTTAGATAATGCATTACTGCTTTAAACTTGTATGCTAATAAACGGAATCAATTTTTTTCCTACAAATGTTTATTATTTTATTACAGTACACACTCTCGCTAAAGATTTTAAAAAATTATAATTTTATAAAATTTTAAAAAAATGATTTTTAACAGCCTATTATGTATTTGAAATAAGGCCTTTTTTAAGACTTGTAAACTTTTCTTTATAAAATGTACTTAAGAAACACCCTGCATTACTAAATCCGACAAATATTTTTATCATAAATTATAAGTAACATAAACTTATGAACTATGAAATATGAATCTAAAAATCAGAAAAGTTTCCATCGACTAGATAATTTCTATTTCTGAGATGTCGTGTCTTCTTTTAAAAAGATAGATAGATTCTTTGATAATAGAAAATTATCAGAATAATTTCTGTGCAAAGAGTGATATTAAATACTATACACGAAAACGCATATTCGACGGTCGCAATTTGGTCGTCGAAAAAAAAAGGTCCTTTTACATAGACTACGATTTTATATAGTTATTCATATCGAAAACTTTCGTGCTTTGTTTGTCCTCGACGTACGAACTACACACTCCCGCCGCCGGCATTCAGCAAGTTTCTAGCATCACGCGGGTGAGTTTTTGGGATCCATTCATCTCTCACGAACAAAGACCTTTTTCCTACATGTGTACGTGGTGGAGTTTATATGAGTTTCAGATTGACCGGAGCTCGGCAAGTACCAAGTATTTCGAAATACATAAAAACAACAGACAAGAAATCCATCATATTCTGCAGGTCGTTTCATATTAAGAGAATTTCTTCTATTTCCATATAATATTCAATATATTTGTCGTAATTAATTTGCGTCATATAAATAGCAAACTTTTTTGTTTGTTATTCACAACGCGATAAAACCATCCAAATATTGATATACGTGATACACGGTAATATGATAAATTACTCTAAGTGATGATAGATTACTCGAAATTACGCCAAACGTGATTCTTAAAACTTATCCAGTGATTTTGGAATACTGTGTGGAATACTGTATCTTAATTAATTCTGAACGGACATGAGCGTGCTAGCTGATCTGATATGCAGAAGTATTAAAATCCGATAAAATCAAATTAACTGAATTATAATTATCGCATCCTTTTGCTCAAAGACGAACCACGGATGCAAATGTTAGCGATACCGTTAATCTCAGTCGTAAAAGAAACGAGAATATTGATTATATAACAATAACAGCGATTGCTTAGAAATGCCAGTTGCCAAATATTTGAAACAGGAATTTAGTCCGGTGACCTGGTCATTTTTTAAAATCTATCACTTTTATCTTAAATTCGGCTTTAAAAATTGGAACTAATTAAAATTTACATATTTACATATTATAAGAGAAGCTGCAATGAAATTAGAAATATCAAGTACAAATTCAATTCGCACTTTGCCTTCTTTCGTTTTCAACATAGAAATTTTTGTATCACTTAACTTTAACAGAAAATAATTCATGTAGAGATAATTCATGTTGGGGGATAAATCCTCGCAAAAACGAAAAGTTAACCCTCACTCAAACGTAATTCGAGACACAATGAATGCGCTAAAACACAACGATGAATCGATTTTTAACGCGCCTTGTTGCACCGAAAGAATACGCCTAATAATAAACTGTTTTGATGAGAAAGAGGGAGGGCGGGCAAGAGAGAGAGAGAGAGAGAGAGAGAGAGAAATCACACTGACTCCAAGTAACACGTTTCTGTACAAAGAAGCCAAAATCAAAACGATTTTACTTGCAGCACGATAAGAATTGCTAGATAAGAAAGACTCGACGAAGCGTTTTTCAACGATAATTACATTAATGTTGTTATAGCCATCGTAAGCGTAGAACGTAAACGAAGGCAAAGTCTATCGAGTAGTTAGAATCGATTGTTATTATCGTTTCCAGAGAATATATCGAATGTCTTACTAATTTGATTTTTGTGTAGCGCGTTGTAGTATGTACATCTAAAATTGCAGGGGCACATATTCGTATATATATATATAGTACGTACATATATATGGGTCAGTATATATGGGTATCCTTGCAAATTCAGATGGGTAGGCATTTGTCATGCCTTGTGTACATACATACGGGAACAGAAATGCCTATAGCCATCTGAACTTGCAGGGATACCGAGGCATATATGTATATATTCCGGTATCCTTGCAAGTTCAGATGGATATAGGTATTGATACGCCTAAAATATCGTTGTTAATTGTCTAATGCATCTATGTTAATATCTGAAACGAATATTTCTATGACATTTCGACATCGCCGAAAATAAGTTTGGATTAAATAAAATCTTTCTCCGCAGATATTTTATCCAATTCCTTCTTCTTCTTCTTCTTCTTCTTCTTTTTGTTTTCTCTCTTTGTTTTTATACATAGAATATATCCGAACTTATATCTGGTTCAATAATTAATACTTATTTAAGAAACTTTGTAGATCGCGGATCAGTACATGCTCCACCGATGCTTCTTGTTCAATTATTTTAATGAATGATTATATAATGAATAATTAATATCTTTGATAATTGAGCATCTGTGTAAATATATATACTACAGTTATAGTTATGGTTGAGCAATCGCAGAATCTCGCTTCCCCGAGAAATGGGATATTTCTTAATTAATGATTGTACAAAATATATATTATATAGCATCGAAATCTAAAGAGACGTCGTTGACATTGCGTGCATGTATTAATATAAAATAATAGCTGTTATATATGTGTGCCTAGCATCATGTGAGCTACTTTCCGTGAATGTATATCGATATCTTCGTGATTAAGTCGAATAACGATAAAAGCAAAGATTTTTTTTTAGCAAACACAAACAAGTAATATTATTTTATTTTATTACATTTTATGAATTTTATTGAGTAATAAATTTCAATTTATTCTTATGATTATCTTTAATGCACAGTAATGCAATTTATTAGTAGCATACAACTAAAAAATTTTATTCTATACTTGAAGATACATGTAGAATAATGATTCTCTTTATCGTTATCATTTATTAATGCCGGACTTAATTGCTTATGCTCTTATTATAACTAAACAAATTTTCTAATATATATTTGCAAATAAAAAAAATATTAATGAATAGTCGTTATCCGACTTAATGGAATACTGCGTAGTGGAGATGCACGAATGGTTGTTAAATATATTAATTGGACATATGACGAAAAACTATATATATCGAACTATTGGCCCGAAGGGTGCGTAAGTAAGTAACTTGATAAATATACAACTGCCTGCGGTAATAAGCCGATTAAACGAATGATAACTTCAACGGACTCTGTACATAACAATGCTAGTCTAAGGAGAGACCTGTTTGCATGAGTCTAACTCTAAACTATAATAATGTCCGGTTTAAGTGTAAGTCCTTGCAATTTTTCATTCTAAAGCTCCGGATGGATAGATGGAAGCCCCAACTTTGTTCTAGTTAAAGATTCTCCGATCCTATCGAGTCGAATCATATATCTTCTCGTCGTCGTTATGTCGTGAAGAGCTTTACTTAAATGATATAACATGTGTCTAAAAAGATACCCGTTACATGCAAATTTGTTTTAAAAATGATTATTTAAACGAGATGTATTACTCCTAAAAAAAATGGGTCAAAACATTGATCCGTATTGATACGTATTGTCAGTGTTTACGATATAATAGTGAAAATGTACTCGAGTACGCATCAAACACGTATTTTAAATAAAACGATTAGTTAACGAACTGGCGATATACCGCTGTGCGGTACAATCCATAGCAAAGTTCCACAGACTCACTTATTGTTAGCAATCAACACGATTATCGGTAGTTTGATACGTATATCTTCGTGTTTGAGATCGATATATATATATTAGCTAGAGAATTATGGAAAAAATTATATTCGCACGCGCGCGCGCGCGCGCGTGTATGTATGTGTGTGTGTGTGTGTGCGTGTGTGTGCGTTCGCGTGCATGTATGTATGAGTATATCATAATGTCAAGACGCGAACGAGAATTCTCGGTTTACCGCGCAAACACCGTTCCCAATCGCGGAAGAGTATTTAATTTTAAAACAGAGTTTTATATTACAGTGCCAAATTAATGTTAGCACAAAAAGAGAATTATGAAAAGCCAACAAATATATAGATATAATTGCGAACCGTATTTCGTAGAATATTAACAACAGTGCGAGAATTGTTGTTTCTTAATTGAAACAAGTTAAGTCGATATATTAATTATAAAAAGCGGATAAGATTTTGTAAATAAGAGAAGAAAATTAGATACGTAATAATATGTAACACGGTATATACGTAGAGCGCGATATTACTAAATGTGTGCGAAAGCAGCGGCTTTAAAAAGCCATTTATATATTCATCCTCGTGAATAAGATTCAAATTAAATCTAAACACAGTTCAAAATTCTAATTTCTTTTAAACTTTATGTTAATGCAAATGATCTCGTTGTAAGCTCCATTATTTTTTTACATTTGTATAATTTTATTCCAAATTGAATATCGCATTACAAATATTTTTCTCCTTAGGAATTAAAAAGAAAACGAAAAAATTCAAGCAGAGACTGAAGAAATGCTGCGATTGTAATTGAATTCAAAAATCAGATGCAATTTTAAAATTGTACATTTATCACCCTAGCGAATATTAGTTTTTATATGAGTAACATTATAAAATCAAGTTCTAACTTGCGCCGTCGCATGTACGGTGCTTTCCAACAATCTTGTGAACTTTAAGAAAAATCACGCCTAACTATATCGCTCATCTATTGATTGCTTTTCCTTTCAACTGTTTTACATGTTTTACACTACTAATTCAACACGTTGAATCGTTTCGACCGTAAAGTTAATGTTTTCTATTCAATGCACATCGTGCAAATAGCGATAAGAAGGAAAGCAGTAGCGTAAATTGTAACGAATCGAGAAACAAACTACCCGTAGTATATAACAATTGACTTTTCTCAAAACTGAAATACACGCAAGCATCTTTCTTCGCTGCGAGAATTTTTTTATTCTTCAGATGGATCGAGACTTGTCTCGCAACAAGCTTTCTCAGTTTCAAAGAAAAGGACATTTATTTTATCACTGTTACTTTATTCTTAATATTCTAACGAGTTTTTTCTAACCGGCAGTTTTGTGGGCCTAATTATTTTCATTTATCCTTTAATCAATATACATATTTCGTACCCCCCCAAGTTCGCCTATCCGTTTTCGGACTAAAGAATGGAAGCTATAATGTCGCTGATCGCAACAATGCGATGTTAATGTACGATTACGTCGATTACGTGTGCTAAGTCGTCGATAGATTAAATGAATTTAGACTGATTAACGGGTCTCTCCGCGGAGATGCGAATTTTTTTATAAGCGTCGCGCGCATCGCAAACGCGCGCCGTGAACATCATACGTCAATTAATAAGGACCTTAAGTTAATAACCACGTATCCACGACAATTTGTGGCGTTATCGGGCCTGCAACACGCTGTCGCCCGTGTTAAACATTTACGAAAATCCACGTAATTGTTTTTAATTATGACTTTAAAATAATTATTACGATATAAAGGCTGTCGCTGTCGAGTCATTCCGTTTATAACTAGAGACTTTAATCCCTTAAGAGATTCGCTTCCATATATTGAGCCTCACTGACTGAAATAACGATATAGATCAATTTTCATCAAATATCTCTTTTTTGTTCTCAAGTACCATTTTTATGAAAACAAAAAATTATTCAGTAGCTATAGATAATAAATATTATTTTATTCATTTAATAATTTTACTGATGACTCAAGAACTTCAAAAATGCTCCTATTAAATTTCTTCTGCAAATTAATATTTGATATACAAGTTTCAAATTATTTTAAAACTTCTTGAAAGAAGAAGTAAATTTTCGGCAATAAATATATTTTTTCTTGTAATTTATTTATTTGAAAATAATACGCTTATTTGTGTATGTAAAAAAATCACAATTTTTCAATTATTTGCTAAAATTAAATTACTTGTGTGTGTATGCACGCGCGCGTAATCATACGTAATTCATTAAATGTATTTCAGTTGGATGAGGATAATGGTATCAGTTACTGCCATTTCATCAATGATGACTATGATTATAGTCATTCATAAACATTCCAAGAATGCTTGATCACATTTATTATCTCGTTAGGCAATTATAACTTATTGTTAGCATACGTATCTTTCTCACCAATAATATCATCATACATTAATTGTTACATTATGTACGCATTTATTTATGTTGTAATACAGTTTATTATACATTTAAAATATTCTCTAATAAATGTTGTCAACAAATTATTTTTGTCGTATAATCAGCACTAAATGCGGCTGATTCTTACAATCCTTTCCTCTTATGTTACATCAAGATTCTATGCAACAACAAAAATAATAAGAGAATTGTAAGACGCGCGAAAAAAGTGGTAATACTTTAATTTATAATTTTAGAATGATTGATAGATAAATATGTTTGCTCGTAGCTTTTGTTTTAGTCAGAAAACTTAATGCTATAAAAATACGACTTTTACATTAAGACATGTACGCACACACATACACACCTCATTATTAAAAAAAAAATTAATCCACTAATTATATGACTTGCAAAAATATATATATATATATATATATATGTGTACATGTATATACATACGTATTACCAGTAGGACACTTCGTGTCGGCATCTTTGATTTCATTCAGATCACGTAAACATTCACTATGTTACCATTTAAAAAATCCAGAACCGAATAGAGAAAATAGTGTCTCATAAGTATAATAAAACAGATAAGTAATAATACGGATTAATTGAATCCAGCCCAAAGCAAAAGTTGCGAATCAAGAAAATAGTGTCTCATAAGTGATAAAACAGATAAATAATAATACGGATTCATTGGATCCAATCCAAAAGTTGCGTGGCGATATCTGCGCAAACACGTATTTTTTGCGAAGTGGTCCTACTGGTTATATTGTGATACGTGCGAGGGTATCGCACATGCTCACTCACATGCACGCACGCACGCACGCACGCACGCACGCACACGCACACACACACGCACACACACACACACGCGCGCGCGCGCGCGCGCGCGTTATAATGTACATATATACATCTCAACAAAAAAATTATGTACAATTATATCACGGTTTATTATATCGAACTCGTGGCCGATCTTGATGACCATAATACTCGTTAAAAATGAGCTTACATAGAAACAAATGAAACACAATTATCAGAAAACATATGCTAACCCAGAATAATGTGGGCAAGCCTCCGAGTTGGTGTCCATGCTTGTGCAAAGCCATCACCTGGTGATCGTGTGCCGGCGCTGAAAAAATATATGTATGTATACATTGATTTTTCAACAATAAATTTTATTAATACTAAAAACATTGTACTCTCTTATCAAGTTTGTAACAATGGATGGAAAGTAATATTATTTTTTAATTTTACACGTAAAAGCACATTTTTTCACTCCTTTCAATAGCCACTGTCAAATCGTATTTTTTTGCTTGAATAGGTGCTTCACGAGCCTCTTGACTATTTACTAACTGTCAGGGGAGGGAGGGGATCAGGAGAGAGAAAAGTAATTTTCATCCATTTTTACAAGTTTTTTTTAAAATAACCCTATTTTTTTATTTCATCTAAATTCTCTTTATTTAAAAATAGCATGCAAGACATTTTTACGTGTCATTTCGCACTTTTGACGTCACGATTTAATAAGGCCGCGGTGACTAGTTGGGAGTCTTAATTTTTTTTAATGCAAAATTCTTTATTAAAATAAAGATTTTCTGAGTTAATCTGAGTAATAATAAGTTATTTTTTAACATACCATCATCTACTTCGTGCACATGCAGAGCATTACGAAGATCTTGCATGTGCTGATGATCGGATGTTATGTAAAGTATTGCGGTTAGTGGCTTCGTCAATTTTACGGGAAAATTCGTGTAAGTCTGGTCGAGAGGAACTGGTGCGTCCAAACAGCCGGCATCACATCCAAAGTAAACACTATCACTTTTATCTAAAGCTACTCCTAATATCGCACGATTATCCTCACCAACTGTTACGGATATATTTACATGCGTTAAATTTCCGTAACTTATACGTCTGAAAGTAATATAGTTTCAAGAGTGAATTAAATTCACACATTAAAATAATATCTAGCATTAAAGATAAACATATAAAAGAAACAATGATATTTTTGTAGAAATAATTGTAATTTACCAGAAAGTTTTTGTTTTATTAAATCGTTTTTTCATAATCTGTTTTTATTTATAATTTTTATTTGTAATTTTAATTTTACGTTTACTTTAATTGTTAATATATAGACGTACCTAAACAAATAATCGCGATGAAGATACTGAGGATCGATATTGAATTCGAGATGTTGATTACTGAATCTCAGGCTACCGAGACTCAACACGATTGCCTGCTGTACAGCCGCAGGACCTCCGATCACTAGATGATGGCAACCTTGCTTTTCCAATGTTATCAACCATGCCTCAACTATCTCGTTGACGGCATCGATAGTTGAGGTATCTTTCCATAAGCGAGGAGCATCCCTAAGCGAAAAGAATTATATATTATATATTATAATTAATACGCGTAAATTACTTTTAAATGGCAGACACAATTCTTCATCATTACAAGGCTTACAAAGTATGGTGACCTCGATAGCATCCTTCGTTCATAGCAATATTTTTCTCGACATCTTGAACACTTCGCGGAACCTGAGACAATACGTAATACATGGTAGAATTAATCTTGTAGCCATTGATGGCACCGTCGGCCTTGGAATCACTTATCCTCAGACTCGTGTACCAATAACTCTGCCAGAGATTTACATGCTCCTCTCTCAGGCTTCGCTGCTGGCGCGCAATCGCCTTTCTCATCAACTGTACAACAAAGAATAACAATGCGCATGTGTTTTTCTTCTGTGGAAACAACGGAATAAATTGGAGAAATCTTCGCTTGCTTACATCGACAGCTCTCTTCTTAGTCGCATCGCGTTCCACATGATAGTACTCGGACGAGATTGGCTCGCTGTACTGAATGCTTGACAAGAATTCTAATTTAACGGAACTATGTGCTTTTACCTGCACTGTTTTAGGCGGAGCCTTGTAAATTATCGATACAACTATTATCTTGTTAGAGTTGGGCGCAGATACGAATCCAGATACGAAAGAGTAATCATGATTAAGCCCATCCACTTGAATTCTATATCGTTACATAATAGATGACGAATTAAATGCTGATATATTTTTAATTAATTATTTAAAATAACACTTGAAATTTCACTTACCTGATGGGCTCTATATGAGAATTACTCCAGTGAATGGATTCCTGTGACTTTAATGGTATTTCTTGAGAAAGTGAAAATGGATTAGAGAGTTTTATAGTCTGCACCAAAATTCCATCGAGACCTCTATGAGCATAATATTGAAATTCTATGTGATATCCCTCTCGAAGGCACTGATACTTGTAAACAATCCCATTTGTAAAATGAACAATAGTTGCTTCTCGATAAGAGCTATCTTTGGGTATAGGATGCGAGATCAATGGTTGCCATTGTACAGGCAGCAAGAGCGCTCTCCTATGTTTAATATACAGCCAGGCTTCTGGAGAAATGGGAACTCCAAAAACACCATTGCCAATATACGGCAGATAAGAATGTTCATTCTTCTTAGGTGGGTTGTGCAGAATATTTGCATTATATTCAACAGCATCAAAGTAGAAACTAGCCAATCTCTCATTCATGCAATGATCTTCAAATGCTGTGGAAAGGCACACGCATTAGTATATTCACTACATATCTAATCACTGTAGAAAGACATAAAGGCAATTCTATGTAACAGCAGAATTAAAAATATATTTTGTATTCTGCTTCCAAATAAATTTAAAAAAATACTTTTCTCGATATGTAGTGCAATTTGTGTTAGAAAGATAATTTTTTACATGAATTTTAATTGATTTAAATTAGATTCAAATATGTTTATATTGTAACACACACACATACACACACACATACACACACAATATACATATATGTGTATATTAATTTATCTATTCAAACACACAAATCATATTATATGATGAAAGAAGATTCAAAATTTGCCTATCGAAAAGCTAATAACACTAATATATAAAAACGATTTCACAATTAAATCAGAAAGTAGTTAGTTGGATTACGTCAACTTAATTACTATTTTGAACTTTTAAAAAGTAAATTATTTATATAAATATTATATGTAGAAAAGTTTTGAAAAAGAAACAGTTGTGAAACAGTTAAATTTGGTATTCCAATATCGAAATTACTTACCTTCTATAGGCTCTCTGGCGGAGGAAAAGAGCCATTGAGCGAAGGGCGGGCCGAAGTACAGCAACAGGCCGCCGCATACCAGGACGATTAAGAGAATTTTACGATACGAGTAATTGCCGTCCAGGACACGACGCACACGTTTGCCAAACTCACGGCCGTCCAGCATACCGCCAGTCCTTATCATCGCGAGAGCGTTCGCGCCCTGGTGAAACGCGTGTGCCCGATACAGTCGCTGATCCCGTCGTCGTCGTCGTCGTCGTCGTCGTCGTCGTCGTCGTCTCACCAATGATCATGGACATAACCTTATTGCCGAGAGAAAGTGTTGGCATGAATCATCGACGAGGGTTCGTTTTTGTTTCTGTCGCTTTCGAATCACGATTCACGAATTGCGACGCGGCTCAGCAATTGTTCGGAACGTCGGGATGCATCGTCAGAGGAGTTTGCACACCCTGCACACGATATAAACAAATACCGGCGTAGACACAACACATGAAGCACATCATCAGCTGTGAACTGCTGTGAACGGCATGAATACGCGCGGACCGACCGACCGACGACTGATTTGACGATTTGTAGGTTATGTAGGTAGCGCGTGTTAGTAGTGTAGCGCCTTGGCGCAGTCGCGTACCTAGACCTGCAGACTGCAGGTATCCTCTGCAGGTACTGCAGGTAGTGCAGGTTCAGTGGCGCTCGCAGTGTTCGCCCGGCCCAATTTGCATCAGTTCAGTTCGCATCCCTCTTGCTGCCAGAGATAGATGCAGCTTCAGATTCAGACCAGGAACCTTATTCTTGAAAAATTCTGCATACGAAAATGTACGAAAATACTATCTATAGTACACTATATAGATTTCCTTTGTATTTTTGTATGTGAAATTTTTCGAGAGAATAAGGCGCTATTTATATAATAGCTAATTACTCTGCTTTGTACTTTTTTTTATTTAATTATAGCGTTTACTTGGCGAAAATATTGAATAAAAACGAGATTTCTTGCCAAAATTAACGGTCAATTTATAGTTAATTTATTAAGATTTGTACACGCCGCGGATTTCCATGCGATTATCCTTCAATTATATAATAATATACGTTTACATATTTACTTTTTATTTATATTATTTTATTCTTTAAATCCTTACTTTGTTCCGTATGTATATTAGCTATATATATATATATATATTATATGTACAAATATATGTTACAAATTACAATAATTCGTCAATATCTATATAGATACAGTGAAGGTGCCGCGGGTATATAAACTATTCGCAATGAGTTATTCTATACAAATAAGCTTATATTTGGCACTTGCTTCGTGCGGTTAATAATGTTAATATATCGCTTGATAAGCACAATGTCACGCAAAATTTCAAATTGACATTTGGAAACATCAAGTACAGAGCGGGGCGACGAAGCGCGACGCGTCGCTCCTATTCACTGTCACGGCCTCAAAAATCGAACACATCCTAGTCCAGATACTCCACAGTTTAGTTACTCCAGCTCTCCAGATCCAGTCACTCGAGATCCAGTACGAGCTGTGCGAATGCTGGCGACTTATAATTAGTGAGCGCGATCTGCACGGTTGACGTGACGTCTTTAACCTCCTCGAGTCGTGTTACGTCGGTGATTAATAGTGATGGCGACGGCGATGACGTTGAGCAACATCGGGCATTAACAACGGCTGACACCAATGACAGCTAGGGGCGACGTTCGATCGCGGTCTTTCTTGCAATTGAATTCACAACACGTTCGATCGTCAGCGTCAACGTCGATATACCCAGATATACCCGCCGATTCGACAATCTCCCCTGGATCCTCTTGGAACCTTCGACATTCTCTACTGTGTGCTTTTGCAAAGCTACATTCATAGTCGTCCCAAATGCATAATTAGGCGAGTTAGAAAGCGAGCATGCCTCGTTGCAGTCGTTGCAGCGAAAAGTGCCTTCTGCACTTCGGAGCGCACACCATGGATGATGTGGATTGAGTATGTACGTACAATAAATACACGGCCTTTTCTAGTTGATGTTCATTGTCTAAATACCGGGCGATATTTCTTAATTTTCGAGGATAAGGATTAGTGTCTGCGAGATGCGCGGCGTTGTCACGTGGAGTAGCGAATTAAATAACTTGAATTATATATATATATATATATATAT